TACTAATGCGTTCCATCGGGAACAAGAACACAATTTTGCTGGGATTGGGATTTCAGATTCTGCAGCTCGCCTGGTACGGGTTCGGATCGGAGCCATGGTAAGTCCAAGAGCCTTGGTTATAATTTATAAAACTGATAAAGAAAAAAATTAATCATGAAAAAAAATTATGTAAATGATGTCTTTGTAATTAATTGTTACATCACTCGTAAAGCAACAGTTCAACCAAAAATGAACAGTCTACTAATGAAATGTCCAATGCATTGCTCCCAACCTCCAGGATGATGTGGGCAGCTGGAGCCGTTGCCGCCATGTCTAGTATCACTTTCCCTGCTGTTAGTGCCCTGATTTCCCGCACAGCCGATCCGGATCAACAAGGTAGGTTTTCTTGAGTTTCATGAAGTTATAGATGCAGGGTTATTCTTTAAGGCCGACTGCTAAAGCTCTTGTTTCTGCAGGCGTGGGTCAGGGTATGGTTACGGGAATCCGCGGGCTGTGTAACGGTTTGGGTCCGGCCCTCTATGGCTTCATCTTCTACATCTTTCATGTCGAGTTGGACCAAGTTCCAGAGAAAGAACCGGATATACAGCATCACCATGATTACCACCAACAGGTAAGTCACCGCACATCGTTAAATATAACTGAACTATGTTGATTGCCGTTTACTGTCAATTCAGGTTTGTTTTAATGGTTAAATTAGTTTTTAAAATAGACACTAATGTTTTGTTAAAATTCTAGTCTAATGCTATTAAACAACACTGAAGTATAAAATATACTTTTCGTGCCATTGCATCGTTTTCATAATTCTCTGAAAGAAGTTTGGATACCTGAATGAAATGCAATAAAAACAAAAGAACTCAACCTAGCCTCCACAAGTCGAGCAGAATTTGTGTAAATTGTTCATAAAATTGAACTGTATAGAATTGAACTCAATAGAATTGTTTGGTACCAATTTGTAAATTGCTTGTAAAACACTTCTTAAGAAGTCAAAGCAAAATTAATTTAAATAGATAAAACTATTTGCAAGATTTTGATCAGAACAAAATTTGGATAAGTTGTTCATAAGACTATTCTTAAGTCAAGAGAAATACATTTAAATAAGTCATAAAACTATTTGCAAGAATTCATGCAGAGCGAGTTTGTTAATTGTTTGTAGAACCATTCGTAAAAATCTGAGCTGAACCAATTTGTGTAAATTGTTAAATTGCAGAACTTTTGTTATTCTCGGAAAAATGTTTGAATACCTGAAAGAATTGTTTGGTAACAATTTGTAAATTGCGCGTAAAATAATTCAAGGCAGAATAAATTAAAATAATTTTTTTTTAATATTTGCAAAAATTCAAACAGATCTAATTTGTGTAAATTGTTGGTAAAATTCCAGAATCACCGGTATCCAAGCAATTCGAAACTCAAACTAGCCTCCATATGTAAAAATGAGTGAATTATCACAGTGCAGTGTTTTATTAGTAGAGTGAAGGAGTTTATAGAGATGCATTTTAAAAAGTAATCGCGCATAGTTTTGTTACGAACATTTGTCTAAATAGGCCTTCACCGTAGACAGTTTTGGGAAAAGTTCTTGACTTTGCGTTAACTGCGTTTCCCGCCTCATGTGTTCCTCTAACAGAGTGCAATAATCCCGGGACCGCCGTTCCTCTTCGGTGCGTGTTCTGTGCTGCTGGCGCTCCTGGTGGCGCTTTTCATTCCCGAACACCCCCATATGGGCACTCGTGCGGGCAGCTGGAAGAAGCACACATCCCCCCACGGCCACCCGCACAGTCCCCACCCACCCGGAGAGGCCAAAGAGCCCCTTCTACAGGACACTAACGTGTGATTGGGAGTTTCGATTTGGCCATTTTGGCCACGCCCCCTATTGCGCATTGGGGAAGAAACTGCGCATGGAGGTTATTGTCATTTATTGAAATGTAAAGCTATATCGGAGGCACGGTCATTTATGCGCTTAGAGCTCTACCTTCCTGCAGAATTTCATTTAAATACACCTGAACTTGTTCATTAAGGTTTATGGAAATTACAGACAGGAAGGAAAGTCTCCATGATTAAGACTGGGCGTCCCTGCTGAATCGCCAATAGAGCACCACTTTTTAAAATAAATGTATATAGAAGAACATATATTTAACAATGGTTCTGTCTAAAGGCACTATTGCAATGGCTTGTATTTATTCTTTTTATTACTTGTTTTTTTGCCTTTTTTTTCTCTTTCTTTTTACATTGCTCTGTTTGGCTCTCTAGTTCTTCATTACCATAGTTCACTCAGGGACATTAACCTGGTCAGGAATGTTTCCGAACACAGTGTGTTCCCCTTTTCAAATGTACAAATAACAGGCTTCATTCATGAAACGCAAGCAGAACAAATTGTGTGAATCACAACTATTCACAAGAATTTGCATTGAACAAACTTATGTAACTCGTTCGTAAAAAATATTTGTTGAAAAATGGTAGAAATTGTTCCCTAAAGCTATTTGCAAGAATTTGCGGAGAACAAATTCTTGCAAGTCATTCGTAAAGCCGCTCATAAGAATTTCAGTTAAACGTTCACAAAATGTTCACAAAATTACTTGCAAGGTTTTGAGTTGAACGAATTTGAGTAACTCGTTCGTAAAACCATTCATAAGAATTTGAGATGGAAAAAATTGTGTAATTTGTTTCCTACAACTATTTGCATAAATTTGTTCAACACAAATTGTTGCAAATCTTTCATAAATCCATTCTTAAACATTTTGGACGAATTGCATTTGTGTGAATTGTTCGGAAAATTACTTCGTAAAACCATATGTAAGAATTTGCGCTAAACAAATTTTTGCAAATTGTTCGTAAAACCATTCATACGAATTCCAGTTGAACAAATTTATGTAAATTGTTGTTTATATAATCATAAGAATTTAAGCAGAGCGATTTTCTTAAGTCGTTTGTAAAACTTTTGGTGAAAATCATAAAATGAGTTGTTTTTGAGGCCCGGTGGCCTTACTGAATGAAGTGGTTTTGCTATAAATGTGCTGCATTCATGAGATCACGAGTTTGTTTGGGAACATGACAGATAATTTTTACGGATTTCTAATGCTTTGACGTGAATGGCCTTAACTGAGAGTTCGGTTTCAGGCTTCGACAAACGAACGTCGCAGTGGAATGATTGTGGTACAGCTTCAAAGTTCCTTTTTGTTTTCTGCTCATGTTTAAGCTGAAGCCTGTTTTCTTTTTATCACTTAGAATCAATGGTGCCTTTTCCCAGCTTAAATTGTGTTGTTGACGGAAACTGGCGAATTTAAGTGACGCATGAGACTCGAGATCTACACAACTGAACAGTCTTGCGTAAAATAACAGTAGAGCTGACTCTAGATCAGTAGTGAAAATGAAATGCCTGACGAGTCTTCTGTCTGGATTCGCTTTCGGCCTTGTGTAGAAACATTCTTTTATGGAAAATATGTACGTTTACGCAAAACACTTCGCAAATGCCAACTGACATTTGACAAACAAGGTGACATTTGCCAGTGGCCTTTCTATATATTTTTTGTTTTCATAAAGACAGATGAATGGCTCATGTTAAGGTTCGACATTTGACCTAATGTATGGATATTATTGACAAGACAGGCGAGTTAATCTGAAATATTAGTTGTGTGCTTTGGATATTTATGAGATGATTTCCTGTAAAATATTTCTTTTATTTTAGAATACAGTGTGCTTTTTTTTTGTGGTTCTGTTGTGCCGTCTTCATTATAAATTTTAAACATGGTGTATTGTTTTTGACTGAACAATGTAAATATGTCTAAACATATTAAAGTATCTAAACATGCATTTCAATAAAAGTTAAATATTTTGATATGTGTGATCGTGTTGGTTGTTTTTATACTTTAAGCTACACAGTAAAAAGGTGAACAATTTTTTCAAACTGCATTTTTATTTACGTTTGTCCTAAAATTGAGCTACTGATGAACAAGTAGCCAAACTGCAATCCATAATAAACAGATTACAAAGTTCACTATGTTAAACCATAAATAGAAAAATATAAATGTACACACAATTAATTATATACAGCTTTACACCGCAAACCAGTCTCACGTTTTGTCATCCATATCAAATCACAAACTCAAATCCTTATATTAACCTTAAAATTGCCAATCTCCTAAAATTGAGCTACTGATGAACAAGTAGCCAAACTGCAATCCATAATAAACAGATTACAAAGTTCACTATGTTAAACCATAAATAGAAAAATATAAATGTACACACAATTAATTATATACAGCTTTACACCGCAAACCAGTCTCACGTTTTGTCATCCATATCAAATCACAAACTAAAATCCTTATATTAACCTTAAAATTGCCAATCATATGAATAGCACTATTTGAGGATATACAATGGCAGCTCTCTTGAGTGTTTGGCAACGGTTCAGAGACAGTTCATGCATGACACAATCAAGTTTAAGACAATGAGAAGACATTTTATAGGCACCACAGACCTAAAGGACCAAGCTTTAGCACCATTATTATTGATAAATTAGTCCCACACTAATGCCAAAGTCTCAAGCAATCAAGGAATCTCTTTGTAAACTATGGAAACCACAGAATAAAGATGAAAAAACAAAAAAAAACAAATGTGTCTATTTCAGAATTTTGACTGAGTTTATATTTCACAATTGTGTTTTGCTTCCACCATAGAATGAAAAATAAAAAGTAACTGACTTTAATCTCACAATTTTGACTTTTTTCCTCACAAATGTAAGTTATATCACACAACTTCTCAGAATTGCAAGTCAAAAGTCTGAATTGTCAGATGAAATCAGAATTGCGAGAAAAAAAGCCCATTCCCGCCACAATTAAAAAATTTTTTTTTTTGCAATTCTAAGCCATAATAGCAAGGTATAAACTTCTATTAAATTATTTTTTCTTGCCATTTTTTTCTCAGAATTGCAAGTTTACATCTCAATTCTGCCTTTTTTCCTCTTTTTTTATTCTGTGGTGAAAATGGGCTTCCATAGTAAACACGTTGAGAACTGGATTTAAAATAAATGTTTTAATAAATTATTGAATACATTTTAAACAAGAATATCATCTGCATGGACACTTTGCAATGAATTCATCTTAGTAGTGGTGCTCACTCATTCAACGTAGTGATGAATAGAAGTGCATCTGAACTGCTGTTCGTCATCCTGGGAAATACGCAGAAGCTGCGGACGCTGTTGGTTTTGCTCCAGCTGTGTTCAAAGGCTTAAGAACTTCTGTAGATAAAGATATTCAATATTTAATAAGAAGGTCTAAAATTAAGAATAAATGGGGAAAAGTAGTTTTTGTGATTTGCCTCTATTTAGATGCATGCTGGGTAGGAGGCCGCGGAGAGGGATGCTGTCATCTCGTCTCTCAAAGTACTTGGAGTCCAGACCAACAGGCTCTCCGCTGTTATGAGCAGATACCGGTCACACCAAAGGCTTTATTTCAGAGAACAGGAAGTAGATGGATTGAAAGAGGAACTCACTTCTCTTTATTGGAGGGTTGGGAGAGTGCAGTGGGACTCAGGTCTGCTGCAGAAGGTTTGGCACTCATAGGGTTAAACTGGACCTAAAAAGAATTTAACAGTGTTTTTTGTCAGACACGTTCATAATTGTGATTGTCAGTGAAAAACACAAAGGCTTTGCTCACACTGACAGCTACAGTTTGATTTTTAGGCACATCAGTCAAATGAGTTCAGTTTTCATAGCAACATGTATGCGTGTATTTATTTTTAAATACTTTTATATGTTTTAATATTTTAACAAAATTATGGTGAAAACTATTTTGTAGGAAAAAAAATTGGGGTTGAGAATTAACAAGTCAAAATTATGGTAAAAATTCATTAAAAATATACAAATAACTTTTTGGAAAATTTGAAAGAAAAAAAAAAACATTATTTTTGCAAAATTATGGTGAACAAGTGTTATTAAAATTATATTTTTTTGACAATTTGAAAAAAAGTCATATTTTCACAAAATAAAGTGAAAATGTTATAAAAACTATTTTTGTAAAATGTGTGTGTTTGGGGTTAAAATTTTCACAAAATAATAAAAATAAAACGTATTTTGGGACAATTTGGAAAAATGATGGTGATTTAATAATGAAATTATGGTGACATTTTATACAATTTTTTTTTTTTTTTTTTAGAAAATGTGGAAATTTAATATTTTCACAAAATTGTGATGAAAAATGTTATAAAAATTGTATTTTTGAAAACTTGACAAAACATTTTTAATATTTTCACAAAATTATGGTAATGTTATATAAAAATGTTATGCTTAGAAAATTTTGAAAAATATATATATTTTTATATTTTCACAAAAGTATGGTGAACAAATGTTATAAAAAATATTTTTGGAAAATTTGTGATTTGTGATGTTTTCACAAAATCTTGATAAATCTATTTTTGGAAAATTAAGAAAATGAACATTTTCAGAAAATTATGGTGAAAATGAAAAAAAAAAAAAGGTTAAATGTTAAAAAAAGAGATTTTTAAAATTGTTATTTTAAATATTTTCAGAAAATTATGGTACAATATTAATTTTTCATAATGTACATTTCCAAAAATTACATTTTTAGGAAATTCAGTCCAGAATATTTTCTCAAGTAGATTTTTGGGGCACTACATGTATTAAACATTGTTCAGCACCAGAGCGAGACGCCATAATCGACACAAGCAGCCAAAACACCAGTTTTCCATCTGCTCCTGCCACAATCTACGGTCTATAATACAGGGGTTAAAGCAAAAAAAATCCTGAGCCTGAACTTTTTTCTGGGGGTTGCGGGGGCGCACGCATACACAGGGTTATTTGGCAAACAAAAAAAGAAACTAACTAGTAACGTATCTGCCATTGCCATTAGCCCTTGACAGGCTCAGACTACAGATTATGGTGGGATATTTGATATTTGAAACAGAAATACCAAGAAAGTTTACTCACTACAATATGGTGCAAACACATGTAACATTTAGGATGCTTTTGATATCAAGCTTTGCTGGTTAGCTTTGTCCTTGACATGTACAAGATGACCTACAATCTAAAACATGAAATTTCTGAAATTGTTTTGTTCAAAAGAAATAATGGTCAATTAAATACTAGGAAATTAATATAAAATAGGAAATATACAAAGACAGTTTACTCCAGAAAACTACAATTCAGTTCAGTTAACAACAACAAAAACATTAAAATGGTCCAAGAACTGGTAACTTAAACAGGGTTCGTACAGATACTGCAAAATAAAATTCCAGGACTTTCAAGGACTTTGGTTTTTAAGGTTTTTAAGGACTAAAATCAGATTTCTCTTATTAACCAATATTGCTATTATCTTTCAAAATAAACTAATTAAACTAATAAAACAAAATGGTACAAATAAAGTGCAGCACATGCAAAGAATGCAATGACTGTGGCAACTTTAACATTTGAAAGGATACTATGGCAAAGTTATCGCTTTCCTTATTCAAACTGATTTTTTTTTTCATGAATATATGATCGACCTGAAGAATGAAAGCTATGTCATCCACTTGGAAAATTATGAGCTTTTTCAAGCTCTTAGACACTAGAGGTGTGACAATACACTTAGCTCACAAGGTGAGACAAAATGCAGATACAAATTTTTTAATACTTAAAATAAAAAAAAAATTCAAATTACAAAATATTTGTCTTTTAATCACAAAAAGTAAACCAAAGCAGTTGTATTTTGAAATGTTTTAACTAATCTAGTGCTTGATGTATTCCCTCCGCGACCAGCACGGATCAGCTCTAGGCATGTCGGAGCGGATATCGTCCTCTTTTGGAAGACCAAAGTAGCTTCGCTTTCACAACGAAGCACACAGCGTCTTTACGACATGGCGGCGGAAACAACAAAACTACATCGAGAATAAAAGTTACGCCTTCTTTTTTTGCGTGAACATTTGGGCGGCGTTATGTAAATCTTCCCACATAGTGAGGTAGATATGTGGGGGCGTGTTCCAACGAGCCGTTTTAGGTAGGTGTGGCTAACTCTTAACTTTTATAAAGAATATCTCTTTGGATTTGAGACTTTAGTCTTTGCAACTTTACAGATCTTCTTTATGCACCAAGAGCTTGTAACACTAAAGAGAAAGGAAAAAATGAAATCGCATCATATGACCCCTTTAAATACACAATGTAATGCCTATATTATAACAAATACCTGCAGAGGGCGCCAACGGTCTGGTGAGGTTTCATGTGATTCAACGACGTTTAAATCCATTTAATTGTAATATTTGGCCACATGCAAAGTCGGAAACTTTTATTTTGAAATCGCGATGTACAATAAATCGCATATTTAGAAATATGTTGATGTATTCTCCTGTGTTGGCATAGGTTTAAATGATTTACGCTACAAATCAAGTGGATTTTCCCAAATTAACGTTAAGCAACCCAAACTCACCGCATATGCAAAGGAAGAGTTTAGCCCCTTTCACACATACAGTCTTTACAGGCAAGAGATTATGTGTGAACAGGACCTTTTCAAAAGTACAGGTAACTGCATTCTGGCAATCATATCGTTCTTATGGAGATGACGTGATAACTCTGAGCTGTTTACAAAGCTGCTTTTTTAATAGCTTTTCTATGTAAATATAGATTACGCTAGATGGAAATCTTTGACCATTGCGCCTCGCAGCTTTTTCAACGTGTCGCGCTCGAGACCCAGGCTTCTTTTCCATTCATCAGATGTGACTCTGCAATTGGATACTATTATGCGCGTCTCGTGTTTATAAGAGCAAAAACTTCTGATTGGCTAGTAATATTAGTTTGGTTGAGAGTGAAAGCTGTGTTCCTCTCATACATTGGTAGGCGAACTCATGAACTCGAACGTGATATCAACAAGTGTTTTTAAATGTAGGACAACTATCTTTTTTTCCCCGCAGCCAAACGCCACACGCCGGAGATCCGGCACGGTGCCAGAGAACTTTAAGCCCTG